AACAGCAATTTACACAAGCAATGACACACACATGCCTGGCTACATGTAACACTGACAAATACACACAGGCATTGATATTACAAACTTACTCATATTGATCCATTCATAAATAATGACTTACACACATGCACATACAGTTATACAGTTACACAAAGTCATATACATTAGCATGCCCACATCTGACACATATAAATATCCATATATATATATATATATATATATATATATATATATATATATACATCTACACACACCATACATAAACATACAAGCCTTAATCAAAACACAGTGACCATACCAACTCAGGTATAAGTACACACACTTATAAATATACCTCATGTTGATACACACACATACAAACTTACGCAAAGTGAAACATATTCACTAACTCAAATCTTTGTATGCATTGATACACACATTGACACAAATGCAATGACATCTCTACTCATGAATTCACATATACTCAAGTGCCAGGGTGTGTGTAACACTAACATACATTCTCATGCACTGACATAGCATATAAATATAAACTGATACCCAAATTATCAAATACACAGTCAATATACAATCACCTATTTGCACATGTTCATGTTTTAACACACATTTGTTATTATATGTTACACATTAATTATATGTTATAATATAGTGATAAGTGTGTAGTTAATATGTGAATTTACGCTTTAACATATACAAATGTATTTATAGCTACATGATACATGCTCTATCACTCAAATCAACACTTGCTCATTTAAGTATTCAGAGACACTGACATATACACTCATATGTTTACATTCACACACATGTACAAAATATACAGACTAAGGTACACATATTGGCCTATATAGTAGACATATAAAATGGACACTGATGTCAACACATTATTACACATGTTTACACACAGTCACACATGTGCACTGACATGCACATATGCACACACAGGCACATTTTCACACACTAACAATACAGACTGATGCATTATCACACCTAGTGAGATGTTCACTGACTTAAATTGCTACATTGATGTGCATACATACACACAACAGACACACTGACACATATTAAGAAAAGCACACATACTCTGCTGAAATTGACATAACAAGTGTGTGTAAAGTGTACAAGTATATATACTCTAAGCTTTCATTGCTTCTACTTGTGCCTGAATGTGTGTATTAATAATTATAATTACATGTTAAGTTTCTATGGAAATTCTAAAGGCCAAATCCCTAATCTGTGCAGTTTAGAAGATATATCTTCTAAATAAAATAAGAGAAAGAAATAGCCTACCCAAACTTTTATGGGTAGGTATTCTTTTTTTAGATGGAGGGATCTGTATGCCTTTTCAAACAAGCTCCCTCTGATCCCCTAAGTGTCATCAACTGGCATCTTAATGATCTCCAGAAGTATGCCTTGGGTTTCCAACATGCACTGAACCCCTCAGCCTCTAGCTGTAGACATAAAATAAGAGACACAGAGGGCAAATATCAGAAATTACCTTTGGGGAACTGCTACAGCGTCTATGCTGATCAATTGAACATGGATTATATGGCCAACAGACATCAGAGTCTATGTCTAGGAATGACGGCAGCCAAAAACACCAAAAATAACCAGAGTCCTTCGACTCCTCCAGGCAAATCTCCTAGAGCTCAGAGGGAAGTCTTCTCCCCTGATGGTGAATGTTGTTACATAGGTGACCTTTCCTATTATGTCAAATGACTTTCTTCTCTGGTAATCCAGATGGCCCATAAAGAAATCAGCAAATGCCTTCACCATTCTATTTATCCATTCCCTGAAGACAACAGGAAAGACAGCCCCCACAGTGCTGTAAGCAAGATCACTTCTGAAATGGTCCATGATGCTGCAGAAGTCACCTCTGCGGAAATGAGGGGCCCTGGGGAAGAGTGCAGGAAAGGCGGGCAGAAAACCTTTCTATATAGTAAGTTATCCAACAAGAACAAGTGTGGAAAAAAACAGGTGTGCCAAAGAGATAGCAAAGAATTTGCAGAATCTATCAGCGAAGGGCTCATGGTTTATGCAAATCAAGTGGCATCTGACATGATGGTCTCTGTTATGAAGGACCTTGAAAGTGCATAGTTCTGGGAAGCCAATTCTAGCCGGTGTGGTCCTGAAGAGGGTGCTGTTAAAACACACAAAGGAAATTGTGTCCGATTTGACTGATTACCACATGAAGAACTTGCATAATACCACAGGGGACCTGATGACTGACTCAGACTTTGTCTCAGCTATCAAGAGAAATCTGTTCAACCCCGGGAAACAAAATGCTGCAGATATCATGGAGGCCATGCTGAGTCGTCTGGTCAGTGCTCTCCTTGCGAGATAAAGGAGACTAAATCCCAGAGTTTGTCATATGCATCTTTGAAAGCTGGGTCCCACGATCCCAAATGCAAGAATCAAAGTCTTGAATTCTCAGCCATGAAAGCTGAAATGAAGGGGAAGGACAAGGGCAAGGTGAAAACACAGCAGTGCAAGTCATTGCCCGGCGCTGAAAAAGTCAGTGAACATATTCTCAGGGAGAGCCTGACCATGTGGAACCAAAAGCAAGGAAACCAAGGAAAGGTGGCTAGCAAAGCATGTGCCAATAAAGAGGAAAAAAGAGAAAAGCTCCCCCCATCCACAGATTCACTGGCAAAGGACTTGATTGTCTCCCCCCTCAAGCTGATCCAGTACCTTCTGACCCAGCAGGCCAAGGGCAAAGATGCATTTGAAGAAGACTGTCCTAGAACTTTCATGGGTTATATGCATCAGAGCACCCAATACAAAAAGTGTGGAAGTGGCCAAAGTGCCAAACACTTTCAATGAAACATGGAGCTCCTGGGCCATCCACCTCACTAAAGGAGAATCAACAGGTGGACTCTAAGAAGCTGTATATGTCAAACATTGTTCTTATGCTGATTCAGAAACTGCTTAGTGATGGCTCCTTCAACTGTGATGCACTCTCTGAAGGTGAGAACAAGCATTCTGAGCCCAGAACAAACAAAGCAGTTTCCATGTCCAAGAGGCCTGACAAGGGGGAAGAACAATCCCAGGACATGCTTGAATTTGACTTTATCAGTGGGCTAAAGCAAATGAATTGGCAATTTATAGATCAACTCGTAGAATCTGTGATGAAACTGTGCCTTGTCATGGCTAAGTATAGTAACAATGGGGCAGCCCTTGCCGAATTGGAAGAACAAGCAGAATTGGCAAACAACCACAATTTCCAGGTCGGTGGTCCCAGATGTAGTCACGATGTTGCGATGCCACAGAACTATCAAGACTCCCTTGGGTCTGAAGTCATCGTCAATAATCAGTGCTCAACAAGTAACTTGCAAAAGCAGCTCCAAGCTATCCTCCAGTGGATGGCAGCCTCCCAGTTTAATGTGCCCATGCTCTACTTTATGGGAGACAATGATGGACAACTGGAGAAGGTAAGCAATACAAGGAACAAGATGAAAGAGGTTGTAATGCACAGTGGCAGGGAGGCAGCATTGTTCTTAGAGTCAATTTGTTTGCTAGTTTTTTTCTTTACCATATGCCTCATGAATTACTCTCACTTTATAAAAAGACTCAAAAGTGGTGAACCATTAAGTGGGTCTTGGGACACCTCAAGCCTTTGCATTTCCACCAAGAGAAGGAGAGTGAGATTAGCTCATTTGATCAGTGATCCTCTCAACAGATTATTTGGTAAAACATCAGGGAATACTTTTTAAGTCTTATGTTTTGATTTTGAAAGCCTTTAAAAGATTAGAGAGAGAAGAAAACAAGCTTCTCCCCAAACTCATGGGTCCTCCAGGTGCCACAAGTGTACTCACTTCCTTAAAATTTTTGCCCTAGGCACCTCACTTGCCTACCATAGACTTAGTCCTGCTCCTCAATTTCACAGAGGCCAGCATTCCTACAAGTTTATTCTCTTTCTTTATCTCTCTGTCTCTGTCTGTCTGTCTGTCTCTGTCTCTCTGTCTCTCTCTCTCTCTCTCTCTCTCTCTCTCTCTCTCTCACACACACACACACCACAGCTGCCTTTCCTACATTAGATGGATTCAAGAAAAATAAAATACTTAACCAAATTAATTTCAGTCCAGAACCTAATCCTCCCTACTTCCAATCTCACACATTTTTAGGGAGGTGGGGTAATGGCAACCCCTAACCTTGAGCTGGCAATTAGCACAGACTAACCAAACGATCCTGCACCTGGTGAAAAGTTTTTAGTGAACACAATTGATTCAAGTGTTTGTTTTCTAAAACTGAAAAACAAAATACCTTTGGCATTTTTATCTATGTTACTAGAGGAAGGCAGAGGAAAAAGGAAAGCCATGTCAGCAGCCTCCAGTCTGGTATGTGGCAGGCTTTACTCTAATCCTAGAATCATGGGTGGGAAGGTAGCTGGAAGATAGTTCACTTTATCCATCTGGGTCCCTTCTCCAAAAGCATCATGTGACTCAAGATCTTTCCTCTCTCCACAGCTTCCTGAAGTTTCAGATAAGGCAGCAGAGAAGGGGTACAGCATATGAGATCTTCTTCAAGAGGTCATGAAGTTTGCCAAGGAACAACAACTGGATGAAGCTGTGGGCAACATGGCTAAAAAACAACAGCTAGACTAGCTGCTCACTAACCTGTGAGCTAACAGCTCCTTCAACTCCTCTCCATTTACTCTCCCTAGCAGCATTCCACCCCAACTAGGGCACCCCCACCATCAGCCCATTGAACTGCACACCACATGATTGTATTTCCCAATACATCTGAGCAGTTGGACTGTGCAAATACAGGGTGTCTAACATGCTGGGCAAGAGCATGAATAAAAAAATAAATAAAATGTGTCATTGTATTTTTCATCAGATATATCTAGACAAGAACAGGGAATGGGTCCAATTCCAAAGATGGGTGATACAGTGTTGGATTTATGTCCAGATCTCATGCTGGGTTATTTTCTAAGCACCCAAGACATGAATAACCTATGTCCAAGTCACAATCCAGAGTTTTGCCACCTGTGGTCTCCCTGTTTCTCTTGTAATTGCACATCTAAATTGATAATCCCAAGGACACAGTTTTCCTGGTTTTTGCTAAGAGTTTAGACAAACAAATAAACTGAAAAGAAGTATATTACTCATGGATATTGCCACCACCACCCTGGCCACACATATACCTCACTATTGACTGCACATGGCTAAATACTATATACTGAACTTTATATAAAAGTATTTATGTATATATTACTATACACTGAACTACAATAGGATCTGATGCTCCTTTGTGTGTGAATAAAGCTTCCTTAGAAGTCATTTCTTTCAACTGATAAGATTTCCTTGTTTTCCATCAGTCTGGGAAAATTTTTCCAAGAACAAAGGATGGTAAATAACCTCATAGCCACCCTATGTGAATCCCAATGTCTTCTTTGAGACTAGCACTGAATTCCTAGATTTGTTGTAGACTTCTCAGAAGTCAATCACAATGCCAGAATTCATTGCAAATCAGATAAAGAGAGTGGTTTCAACCCTGCAGTCCTCTGTCAGCTAGTTTACTGCGGCATACCCTGGCACCTTTGAGGTGCTCGTGGCTTAGTAAATGTGGCATAAGATATGGCATCCTTCTGGATTCAAAAGTCAAAGCTCTTACTAGTCACATGGCCTTACAGAGTCATTTAGACTCTAAGCCTATTTATTTATCTGTAAAATGTAACCAGAAATTACCCTTACTGTTTACAGAGGTTAAGTGAGAGAAATGGATGAGTTGATGCTTTGCACAAGGTAAATCTTGTTAGAAATGTAGCTGTGTGAAGAAAATTGTACCTCCCAAAGGCCTTCCTAACATAGCTGTGAGTGCTTTTGACACACTTCTAACCTGAAAGCAAAATTTTCTGAGTATGGGACCCAGAGAAGCACTTTTGAGGGTATGTAAGAGGCATAAAGGCAAACTCCAAAACACCTGGACCAGTCAGATAGAAGTAAAAGCAGGCCCCTTCAAAGCAGGACCTTTAAAAGTCCCAGTCCGGATGAAAGCCAATCAAACTTTTTCCAGACACACCCCACCCTATGGAAAGATTTGGAGTTGAGCCACCACAGATCCATCTCTTTGTCCTTGAAGAAAATTCTTAATAAACAAATGCCAGGACCAGAGCTGTATTTCTGATGACTCAATCCTCCCTGAGCACAGCTGGGTCCCATAGTAGTATACTTCCTTGATTAACTTAGCACTTGACTTGCTCCTGATTTTTATTATAAGGTGGCCTTAGGGATTCCTTGGAACATGGAAAATGAGCAAAGGAAGTCATATGTTCTGTTAAATGAGGGATGTTGGGGCAAAATGGTCTCTTAGGACCCTTCCAGTTCTGACATTTGAGGATGCCAAGACAGAGTTTCCCTTCCATAATTTCTCAGGAAAACTTGTGCCGATGAAGTAAGATCAGGGTGAGAAAACTTGACTTTTGCCAGAGCTAACTGACAGACTCCAGCAGAGAAAGGAATGCTTTGGGCCACAAAGGACCCTAACAAGGGTCTGGAGGAGCTCAACAGTCTTTGGGGTTTATTCCTGGAGGGTGAAATCCTGGCCTTTCACCTCTCTAAATGGAGAAGTGATCCCAGGCATCCTATTAGCAATGTGGCCAAGCTCAAGGCCAGCAGTTGGAAATGGACAAGGACTTCTGCTGAGCTGAGAGCCCCACATGTAGTAGGAAAGGACCGACAGGAGCAGGAGAAGGAAAACATGAATATCTCCTGGCAGGCAGTGTAATTGTTTTGATACGACAAGCCTCTGAACATCAGGCCTCCATTTCAAAAGAAAGTTGTGAGCAGAACTCATCTGGGAAATTACTGCAGGACTAGGTTGAGATGAAGTGAGAGAGGCACTTGCCTCAGGGGCAAAATTTAAGGGGTTGCCAAAAAACAGTACTCAAAATAAATAATGTTTTAATGCACTATTTTAAGAAATCAAATTAATACAAAAAAGTCCATGCTGAACACAATATCAAATATTGTAATACAGAGCTTCAGTAACAATGCCATGCCAAACCATAATGGAACATCAGGTAAAAGGAAAAATTAGTAAGGCTGATTTTATGTGAGTAACACTTTATGGGAGATTGCCAAGGCAGTATTGTATACAAGAAAATGTATTGCCTTGAAAGTCTGTATTAGTACAGAAAAGCAACAATGAATTAAGACCCTGCCTCAAAAATTTAGAAAGGGAACAAATAGCAAAGCAAACAAGTTTAGGGAAAGGGAAATAAAATTTGGAGCAAGGAAAAAAAGAGAAATAAAAGATTCACTTAAACCTTTAAACAGGGGTGAGGAGAGAGGCATGTTACACTGTTTTTTATTTAACATGAAAGTATATTGTTCCAAATAAATGCTCATATTAGATCAATTCTGGTTAACAACAGGAACCACAGATTACCTCTGTTAAAATTCCACTTTAAAATAGTTCTAATAATGAAAGAAGGAAAGTAAAAAGTATAAACAAAAATGCCATTTTTGCATAAGATATATTTGTACATCTATGAAAAATCAAATTCCCAAGTACCAGAAGTAATGAATGAGCTTTGCAAAGGCATAGGATGAAAAATATCTGGGAGCTGTAAGAATTTCCCATCAACTACAAGAATTCTATCTGCTTTCTCCCCAGTGGCTCAGAGACATGTAAAAAGTTTAGCAGTTCCCCTGTACTAAAGTTTCTGTGATGTCAAAACATGAAAAAAATCTAAAAGAATCTATTGAATTTCTATATCCCAGAGCCACCCAGCCAGAAAGAAAAGTGTCTAAGTACCACAGTGATAATAATACTAAACACTTCGGTATTAAGGAAGGCAAGAAATGACATTTACAGAGCACTTATTGAATGCCAGACACTAAATTCTTTCAAAAACCTCATGACATGGTTTGTTATTAGCTGTTTTTACAGATGAGAAATTAGTGGCTCAGGTTTAAAGACTTTTTCAATTATCTAAATATACAAAAATAAAATATGAATTTTTAAAAACGGATAACAGAGAAATAGAAAAATAGACCACACTCCTGACTATTAAAATAAATAAAACAACACTCTCTAATTCAATGTATAGGTCTCACATAATGCCAGTTTAAATCTGTATGGGATAGTCTCAACTATCTCCCCCAAGATATTTATTAATTTCAAAGGGGTTACAGTAACTTTACAACATGGATAGGCCTGTCAGTCACACCTTAATTAGGTGACCAAGGTTAACATCATCAGTAAAGGTATATTGATCCCATGTACCTACTGACATGACATCATAAGTGGCATTCTTGCCAAAAATCCATAACGCCAGTCTAATCATGATAAACCATCAGATAAACCCAAACTGAGGGAAATTCTACAAAATTCTGACTAGAATTGACTGCAGAGTCACAGTGGAACATTTTAGGCATATGGAAATGTTAACGATATACCTTAACTAGGGAGGTGTTAAATACAGGTGTATTTATACATTTCTCAAGACTCACCAAACTGTACACTTAAAATTGGTAACATTATTCTATCTAAATTATATCTCAATAAAGTTTATTTCTAAATATATTTAAACATAATACCTATAGGAGAAAAAATCCCCTTCCACTGTTCACAAATTTGTTGCTCTTCTGCCTCTTTCCAGAAAGTCTCCAATTTAGCAAATCTTTCTGATTTCAGGCTCTGAGCCATCTTTAACCTGCAGTGCTCCCTCCTGATCCTTCTATTTGTCTCTGGTGGCCCAGAGCAGGACCTTGGAAGCTCCTTTATGAGAATTTCCCTCCCAGATTCCAGCTACATATCCAAAGTGAGAAGACTGCAAGCTCAACTCTTTGCCATGAAAATCTCCTCAGAAAGGCTTTCCTTCACCATTCAGTTTCCCATAGTTACTCTTTACTACATCACCGTTTTATTTTTATCATACTAACAGATATATCCTTTGTGTTATTATTTACTTGCTTACTGACTGACTCCTCCCACTAGAATGGTAACTCCAGGGGCACAGGGACGTGTCTGCCTGTTCACTACCATGTACTCAGGGCCCGGCACAGTGCCTGGTACAGAGTACCTATCCAATATTTATTGAATAAGTAATGATCCACCTATTTCATTGTTCTCTGGTGGGGAAAAATAACATTAAATGGGGAATCAGAGTATTTGCCATTAACCACAGCCACTTAATATTACTTAATACAACCAAGTGTCAGTTTCTTTATTTCAAAAATTGGAATCTAATCAATACCTCATATCTACTTCTCTGGAGGTGTTGTGTGAATCAGAGACAAGTTGAAAATATGCCTAAATGTGCCCATTGAAGCTTCAGTGAAAAATAATAATAATATTATTATTAATTCTAATATTTATTGATCTTTCACTATGTGCCAGGCACTCTTCTAAGTGTTTTTCACTATTATGTCCTTTAATCCTCTCCCAGAATGCTGTGAGGCATGAACTATTATTATCCCATTCTGCAAGTGAGACAATCAAAGTCCAGAGACGCTGAGTAACTTGCTCAAATTCACACAGTTAGGAAGTGGTAGAGTTGAGATTCAAACACAGATAGTCCTGGCTCCAAAGCTCCTACTCTATACTGCATCATAGACTACCAGGACTTCATCCATAATGTCATATGTCAGAGTAAGTCCTGGCATAGTGCAGG